CTGACCATATAAGTGCTAATTTTCCTCTACCCGGAGGTCACAAATTTCTTCTGATGCTGTGGGTGCCTGGACAGCCCTTTGATGCCCAATTTGCTGTGAGCTGGTTGCTCTTCCTGCCAAAGCACACGATACTCACAGGGCAACCCAACACATCTCTTCTTCCCCACCGTAGAGGCCTTTCGTTCCACACTCCTGCAACCAACAGTCATTCAACCCCTCCTCTGGGCCAGGCTGTTCTAGGAGCTGCTATGCCATCCCTGCTTCTCTCAGTTAGAGCGTTCAGTCACGGCATTGCTTCATCTTATTTCCTCTCAGCTTCTCTAAAACACAAACAAATCAATAACCTATTCTATCTTTTCTCTTCATTAGCCTCTTCCCTGCAGGGTCTCAGGCCCAGGGCCCTGCTCACACCTGCCTGGTCCTGTCCCTGACGCTAGCTAACAACCCATCCCAGCTGAGAACAAGTATTAGCATATCAAAAATTCCAATTTACATTGTTATTACTCCCACTCAGCACAACACCCGAGGCTCAAATCCAAACAGATTTTGAGGCATACGGTTTCCTGTATTATGTTTCCATATAAGGTGCCTGGCTTGATACAGAAACACAAACCCTGTGGCAAAATCTCCCCAACCTTTCTCTGTAAACTCCACCCCAAATATGAAGAAGACAGATTGGACTTGCCTGGCCTTGCCTTTTCTCAGATGTTAGTTCAGGACAAGTCTAAAATTAGCCCCACCCCCTCCTGGTGCTAAAACTCAGCTGGAGCTGGAGCAACAGGGGGCCAGTTACTTTTAGAAACTGGCCCACTGGGGCTTAGAGCTGAGCAACAGAAACAGGTGATGGAAACTGGGCCCAAAACCTGCATGGCAGGAAAGAAGAGCCAGATCAAGTTCAGAAGCTGAGATCAAAATGTCAGATCCAGGGTCCAGGGCTGCAAATCCAGACTGATGTCATGGTCATGGGCAGACCAAGGAGAACAAGCACAAAACCAAGCTGCGAGTAGCTGACTCTGCACATGGAGGTAGGTTGGGAGTTGGGGATGGGGGGAGGGGGCATGCAAGGGAGGGAAGGAGGGAATGGCTATTAGGTACTCATTGTGTGCCAGTTGCTTTATATATGGCATCTCATTGAGTCTTGTAAGTTCTCTTATTTTGCCTCTTTTACTGTTAGCTAAATGAAATGCCAGAGATGTTCAGTAACTTAGCCAATGTCACACAACCAGTAAATGGAAAGCTGGGATTCAACCCGTAGCCTATTTTATCGTAATGCCTGGCACTTTCCTCTATGCTGCCTTCACCAGTAGCAGGAAGGGGCATTTCAGATCCACCCACAGCCCAGGGGGATGGGCCATCAAGTTGCCTCACTGATATTTCTCACCCTGGGTCATACTCCAAGTCCCTGGGGCACTCTGACAAAAATAACAATGCTTGAACATCATCACCACCACTCCCCGCCCCCCTTTCTAAGTTAACTTTTCTAGGGCAGGGCCTAAGAATAGGTATTTTACAATCTCCTGGGAGCTTCTATTGTGCCACCTGGGTAAACAAAACTAGGCTCAGTGCTGTGTTGCTGATCAGTTCCCCTGGGACAAGATGGAGAGATAGGAGAAATGGGCGGTGATAGATATTTATGCCCCAGTCACCTGGGTTCCACACCCGCCAGGCAGGCCACCTGACCTGCAATGCACAGTTTTGCAGCAATTTCTGGTTGAGGGTGGTCTTCTCAAATTCTGAAGTCAGAATTGAAAAACAGCATTAAAACTGAAAGGTCAAATGTTAGACTCCAGAGCAAGGACAATGGGCCAGATACAGAAACTAAAAAATAAATAGCTGAAATAGAAATTCAATGGATGTTCTTAAGAAGCACAACGGAGATGAAAGAAGGAAAAGTCAATGAATTAGTAGATCAGCAGAAATGATCCAAAAGATGTTTGCATTAATACCAAAAGGTCTATGTATTATAATTAGAGTCCCAGGAGGAGAGGAGAGAAAGGATGACACAGAAACATAATCGAATAAATAATGGATGAAAAGTTCATAAATTTGGTAAAAGATTCCAGACTCCAAAACCTCAATAAACACCAAGAAAGATTAATATAAAAAACAAACAAAATAAAAATACTTAGGCATATCATAATCAAAGTGCTGAAAATCAACGACAAAGAGAAAATCAACAAAACAATGCTGACAGAAATTAAAGATGTAAATAAATGGAGAGATTTACCAAGTTAATTGATTGAAAGATTCAGTGTCGTTAAGATGGCAATTGCCAAGTTGATTTATGAATTTAGTACAATCCTAATAATAATTCTATGCTTTTTCATCAAAATTAGCATGCTGGTTCTAAAATTTCTCTAGAAATGCAAAGAACTTAGAATATTGAAGAAGTCTTGAAAAAAGAAGTCAAGATTGTAGACTTATATTACTTGACTTCAAAGTTTACCCTAAAACTACAGTAATCAAGACAGTGTGGTACTGATACAAGTCCACCCCCCCCCTTGCATAATCAACAAACAAATTGATAGAACAGAGTAAAGAACCAAGAAATAGATCCACATTTACACATTTATTTTCAACAAGGATGTCAAAGCAACCCACTGGGAAAGGAAAGTTTTTTCAACAAGTGGTGTTGAAATAACTACTACACCAATTGTCATAAGAAGAATATAAAACAACTAAAACTCTTATGCATTGTTGGTAGGAGGGGGAAATGATATGAGAGCACTGGAAAAAATATTTGTAAATAAATATTTAACTCTGGTTAATAACATTTGGGAGAAATCAATATCTACAACTTACTTTGGAACACAATAGCAAAATTAATTAAATGAGTTACTAGATGGATAGAGGAATAGACAGAGAATCAATATGTGGTAAAGAAAATACAGTAAAGTGTCAACTGAAGGAACTACGAGGTGAGTATATGCATGTTAATTGTAAAAGTTTTTCAACACATCTCTAAGTCTGAAAATTGTATGATAGACTGTTGAGAACAAATATTGGGATAGTTGGCAAATTTCCCATTAGAGTCCTGGCCCTGGGGAAAGATCCTGGAATCTAGCTGATGTATAAGGGGAACAGAGTGGACAAAGGAGGCTTCCGGGTCCAGAAGAAATTGGCTTTCTTTACTCTATTCTAACTTTGGCAATGAACCTGGGGGCTGGGGCAAAACACATGCAAGTTCCTCTTGCATTCCGTAAGACCCCCTGGCTCATGCTCTCTGCACTTGCCTTGTCTACCAGATGGTGACTCAACAGATCTGTTCTAGAAATCTGCAACTGGAATGGGGCTGTCTGGCACTATTTACTTTCTACCTACTGAGTGCTGACTGTGTGCTGCTTTGTGTACTAGGCTTTGAGGAGACTATGATGAAGTGCATAAAAATGACTCCTGTCCTTTTATTCACCTTACCATTGATAAAACTCAGCTTCTCTTCTACTTTTCTTGTTATTTACACCCTGACCAGAAGACTTACAAGTTCCTTTTATAAGCCATGTTGACTTTTTTAATTAAAAAAATATTTTAATTAATTAATTAATTTTGAGAGAGAGAAACATTGATTTGTTGTTCAACTTATTCATTGGTTGATTCTTGTATGTGCTCTGACCAGGGATTGAACCCACAATCTTGGCATATCGGGACAATGCTTCAACCAACTGAGCTACCTGGCCAGGCTGCCATGTTGATATTTCTTAAGTCTCTGAGTTCAAAAAAGCCTTTTTAATATTGGGCCTGAATATCTCTATCTAAAAAGAAAGAGATTTTTTTCTTATTTTACTCTCTATGGAGTGAAGCTTGACACAAGAAGATTCCAAAGCCTCAAAATAGCTCAGCAAGAAATTGAACACATGCCTAGTGACCCAAAGTCCCCTTACAGTCTCCTGAAGTAGGGGTGAGAGGGAAAGGGCACTGGGCAAGCATGCTCAACCCTCTGCCCCACTTCCAACAGAGGTCACACCATTGCTATTCCTTGCCTTAGCACCACAGTCAGAAGTCCTGTCCAAAGATTAGCCCAAGCACATGGCATCAAGGAGAGGTGCCTGGCCTACCGGATAGCTTGACGTGACCTTGAATCCCATGTTACAAATTAAATTGTCCAGCCTCACCTTTAACATACAAAAGAGAAAATTCCTTACTTAAACATCTCCTTTCCCAAGTCTTCTTGGTGAAATGTGAGCCTGTTTTGAGCTGATATGTTAATGTGACAATTTGGTTGAGTGACACCACATTCAGTAAAAAGAAAATAGAAATTCGCTGCCTTCATTAGAAAGGCTATTGCACTTTCTGTAAAGTGACTCATCCTTTTGCTTAACTGAATACCTCCCCCTCTGCCAAGTCCAGACTGTCACTTATTTGTCACCTTTGTATGCTTCCACCAGCTCTGGAAACTTTTTAGCAAGGTGACTATTTCCAGCTTCTTTAAGAAAAACGTTTTTTAAAAATTGATTTCAGAGAGGAAGGGAGAGGAAGAGATAGAAATATCAGTGGTGAGAGAGAATCATTGATCGGCTGCTTCCTGCACACCCCACACTGGGAATCGAGCCCGCAACCCAGGCATGTGCCCTGACTGGGAATGGAGCTGTGACCTCCTGGTTCATCGACTGATGCTCAACCACTGAGCGGCGCTGACTGGGCTATTTCCAGCTTCTTAATGCCCCTCATCCTGACTGAAATATATTTGCTTCTTTTCTCTACCCTCCTTCCTGCAAAATTTTTACCCCTCAGGAATTTAAATACCTGTTTTCTTTCCCTAGGAGCTGTTTTCCAGACAGGGGGATTCTTGGGAGACAATGATATGGTGCAGGGAAATAGTGTTTGTTTTTTCTGTCCCTGGTGCTGGGCAAGGTGATTGGTGCTTCGGGACTTGCTGAAGCTCTTTGAAAACAGGGCTAGTCAGATTCCAGAGATTTACCTTCTGGAGTGTGAGCATGTCTGGGCAGCAGCTGCATAATTTGGATGGAGTCATCGCCGATGAGGCAGAGTTGGCTCAGCCAGGGAGCACTCGTTGCTCTTTTCAACTCCAGGGCACGGGATGAAGTCACCTTTCTTCTTTTGAAACCAACAGATTCGTCCTGTGAGTCCCCGTCACTTCTGTGAGGACTTGTTTTTTCTGCTGCCGGTCGCCAGGACCTTCTCTCAGGTAAGCAAGCTCTGATTTCGTGGGTTTTCACCCAAGAAAGCTTTATTTTGGGGCATCTCTGGGTAAAGGTGGAGTCAGGTCCAGGGACTTGGGATTGGGTGAGGAGGCCAGTGGGTTCCCAGGCATCTGGTATCACCTGGGGGGGGGGGGCGGCGGGCTCTGAGCTGGATGAGGAGCACCCCACGCAGCTGGGAGCGAAAGTAGGGGTGCTCGCCGTGGGCAGGGAACTCTAATCCGAGCTTGGTTTCGATGCCTGTGCTGAGAGTTGTGTAACAGGCACCTTGGGGAAGCGCCTACAGGTGGTTTGCTTCGGGTTGGGACTCTCCTACCCCCTTTGCCTTCCTAAGGACTGGCTTTGTGTTTGGGTAGAACTCCTGTAGGATCTCAGGACAAAAGCTGATGTGCAGGAAGGCAGCAGCTCTCCCAAGAGCCTTTATTTGCTCATTCACCGAGGTGAATGCTCCATCTTCCTCAGAGTGGAGGAGACAAAGGGGCCCGCTTCCTGCCCTGACATGCAGGCACCTGTGTAAACAATGGCTGTCCTGCTGGGGAGGGGGGGGCAGAAGTGTGCAAACACATCTTTGCGCCTGTCTTAGCTTCTAAGAAAATGAGCATGAGTTTTGGTGTGTGTGTGTGTGTGTTTGTGTGTGTGTGTGTGTGTGTGTGTGTGTGTGTGTGTGTATGTGCAGGCGGACCTGTGACCTGAGGAACCACTAAAGTCTCCCCGCAGCACTTTCAATGGGTTACATGAGTCACTGTCCCTGATTGAATCAGACATCTCTTATTAGCTTTGGAGGCTCAATAAAGACATCTTGGTTATGATGGAGGCGCCTACAGGGTGATAAATGGCTTTCGGAGAGAGTTGAACCACCGTGAAGTGAAAACATTGAGACTTGCAAAAGCCTTTTATTACCTGACATACAACTCTACTACACATAGTATTTGATATGTTCCCTTTTAAATATAAGTATATATACACACATATATTGATATATTGATTTTAGAGAGGAAGGGAGAGGGAGAGTTAGAAACATCAATTGTGAGAGAGAATCATCAACATACTTCTTCCCACATGCCCCCCACTCGGGACTGAGCCTGCAACCCGGGCATGTGGCCTGACCAGGAATCGAACTATGACCTCCTGGTTATAGGTTGATGCTCACCCATTGAGCCACACTGGCCGGTGGTATGTTCATTTTTAACCTCTGAAGGGAGCAAGAATCTCATTAGATAAGATAAGGAAGTTTTGTTATAAATGCAATTGCATATTGGCTGCCAGCACCTGCTGACACGTTCACCTCTCCCTTGGCGCATCCAGAGTTTATCCTTACCTGAAATCTGCTCCCCCTTTTGTGTCCCGAGCTCAGTGAAAAGCATCTGGTTGTCCATAACAGATTTCTGGACTTCACCCTTGACCTCTCCTTTGTCCTCACACTCCCACATCCAGTTTGACAACACATCCAACAGATTCTGCCTCCATATAATCTCTCAAATTCATGCATTCTTTCAGTTCCATGGCTATTTTCCTAGTTTAACAAGCCCTTATCATCTTCTTCCAGGATTATAGAAACCTCCCACACAGGCTTCCTCTCTTTAGCCTTGCCATCCTGGTGCAGCCAGATGATTCTACAGTGAGTGATCAGCACCTGCACAAACCAATCAGTCACTAGCCTGGTGATTCTGTCTTCTTAATATCCCTCAAAAATTTTCACATCGCTCCACTCCACTACCACCACCTTGGTCCAACCTACCAATGCTCTTTGCCTTAGTCATTGCGATAACCTTCTAGCTGACCTCCCTGATACCAGGCTCACTTCCTTCCTGACGTATTTTAAACTTCTTATCTTCCCAAGCTTTTAAAGGACATTTTTTAAAACAAGAGCAAAACTTGAAACACCTGTTCCCCTCTTGGGGTTTAGAAACATCAGCATTTTTATGACTCTTGTAGATCCTTCAAGGAGGGAGGCAGAGAGAATGGGGGTAGATGAGGGTGGGTGCATAAAGCTCAGGCCTTGGAGCCATGCGGGTCTGCATTTGAATCCCAGCTCCTTCACTTCTATGTAGCCTTGACCAGACTGCTGAACCTTCTTGAGACACGTTTTCCTGACCTGTGAAATGGAAATAATAATGCCTACTTCACTGGACGAACATAAGGGTTAATTTAGAACATTTAGGGAAGGCTCTGAAACATAGCAATTAAGAATTTTTACTTCCTTCCCTTTTAAGGCTTATAATCTCTAACCATCATATATCTTGTAAGCATTCGTGTGTATGTACATGTATAATGACCTGTTTTCGGCACGGTAGGAAGGAGGAGTGGCAAAGAAACACATGAGAACTCTCTTAAGGAATTTGCCGTTTACTCAGGAAAGCAAAGGAAATATAAATAGTATAAAAACATCTATAACACAAGCATTCTGCAATTGTCATGTGTACAGCAGCAGTTGAGTAGATAAGCAGGGAGGGCTTGAATACACAGATCAGATCTGTGAACACCTGCAGGCAGAGGGTGAGTAGATCTATATCAAGGAATTTTTAGATTTAGGGTTTTTGAGGACTTAAAATTCATTGGCCTCTCTGATGTTGAAATAAAACTTCCCAGAAAGCGTTATACTTAAAAGTGATTTAAGGATATATGGATTAGTGTTTATGTGACTTGACTCATTCATTCATTCACCAAGTACTTATTGAGTGCCTACTCTGTACCAGGTCCTATGTTACACAATTTCTTTGCTACTCTTCCATGGGACATGGATGATAGCTCTCCTCCTCTTGAATTAGGGCTAGCTTTAGGGACTTGTTTGACCAACGGAATAAGAAGAAAGTGACATCTGGGGACTCCCCTGGCTAGGTTCTAAGAAGCTTTGCTACTTCCTCTTGGGTTGTCTTGGCTCACTCATTTTGGGCTGGGAGCCAACCACCATATAAATTCATGTGCTGGCAACCTGGCTCTCTGGGGGCGGGGGGGGGGGGCCGGGAGAGAAGAGAAAAACCCCGATTTGCAGTGTTTGTTCGTTTTCATGGTAAAAATACTCCCTTCCACTATGGCCAATTTCCAGCTACCAAAGCGACAGCACTGAATGCAGGGTTGGAAAGAAACACACAGAATCAGCTCTGACATGTTGGTACAAGCCAGCCCCAGTGCACGACCACTAATTACCCTGAGACCACCACGCTGTGAGGAACCCCATGCTAGCTGGGTGGGGAGGCTCCATGCAGACAAGCCCAGGCTGCCCCAGGCTTTCCAGCCACTCAAATTTAGGCTCCAGGGAGGAAGCCTTCCAATGACTCAGACACAGCCACTGACCTCAACTGTGTGAGAGCCCCCGAGTGAGACCAGCTCGGCTCAGCCCAGGCAGCCCACAGAACCCTGGGAGATAACCCTGTGCAATGTGTGCTATCGTTTGCAGGTAGTTCGTTTCACAGCAATAGATAACTGGAAGGAAGTGGTAATCTTGCTTAGAAGCAAGCCTCGATCAAGCCCCCAGGGTGTGTCGAGGAGTAGAGGAATCTGTCCAGAAAGTCCTTTGTCCTTGAATATTCTCAGGCCTTAGACACTAAGGAAGGAAATGTTTTAGTTTTAAAAACCTGAGAAAGAGGCTCGATTACTTTACTAACTAGCTTTACCCTTATAACTAAATCAGTGGAGGGGAAAAAATATACACCACACACACACACACACACACACACACACACACACACACACACACACACACACTTTTCTCTCATCATCTGCCTCCATCACTTACCCACCTAACTATTCACACTAAGCTATGCAGGAAGATCTCCTTTACCTGCCCTTCCAAGGCTGCTCCATCCTCCACATGGAATTTGTTGGGGGAAGCAGGCAGAGCAGAAAAAATATGAAGTCAAATGCCCAGAGCCCTGAGGTCTGGTGGACAGCTAGTGAGACTCCTGTAAAAGAGCAGCAAACAGGAGGATTTAAAACAAGCTTCAGGGAAGACGCATGGAATAGTGGTTAGAGCCTGAATTTAGAAATCAGATGACCTGGGTTGCAATCTGGATTCTGACATTTTCCAGTTGGCTGACCTTGGAAAGTATCTAGACATCTCTCTTCTCAATTTCTTCAACTTCAAAATCTGGATAAGAATGCCATCTCACAAAGTTCTCGTGGAGATTTAAATGAGATGATATTTGTGAGTGCTTAGCATAGAGTCTATCACACCGTGCTGAAGGAATAGCAGTCACCAGTAGTAGTAGTGATGGTGTTGGTGTCTCACTGATGGTACTGTTGCCACAAATTCCAAAGCCATGGGCTCCCTGGCAAGCCGAGAGCTCCAATCAGTCACACTATAGGTGCCCAAGATGTGTTCAATAATTGTTCAAATCAAACCAAATATCTATATGTGAATACTTATTCTACTGCCATTTTTCTCTTGTCTTCCAAACATATATTCAAATGCTTAAAAAGCATAATTATGCATTATTTTCCCTATATCTTTTTTGTGGCTTAATTAATTAATTAATTTTAATTATCTTTATTATTGAAAGTATTACAGATGTCTCCTTTCCCCCCCATTGGTCCCCTCCACCCTGCACCTGCCCCCCAAGGCCTTCACCGCACTATTGTCTGTGTCCATGGGTTATGCATAAATGCATATAAGTATAAATTCTCTGGTTAATCTCTCCCTGTACCACCACTCCCTCTCCCTCCCCTCGCCTTCCCTCTGAGATTTATCAGTCTGTTCCCTGCTTCTGTGCCTCTGGATCTATTTTGTTCATTAGATTCCACATATGAGTGAGATCATATGATACTTGTCTTTCTCTGACTGGCTTATTTTGCTTAGCATACTACTCACAAGGTCCCTCCATGCTGTAAATCCCCTATATCTTAAACAATATGAACTGAGACCATATTTTCCAATTTCTTATAAGTCCTCTTCTTACCTTCTACTGTGTAGCAGGTAGTTGAGTAGTTTAGTGCTCAAAACATATTAACTATTATTATTTTTTAAAAATTCTATTTAGGAGAAATTAAA